GAAGCGCTCCGAGGGAGACATGAAGGGCTACCTGGGCTACACAGATGAGGCTGTAGCTTGGGTCTTTCTATGTTGGACCTATTCAGAGGGTGTTTGTACATCACACACTCACAATCACACAGACACACACACACACACAGTCATACGCACATGCAAAGTTCAGGGACATGAACATGTACATGTGTACAAAATACATACATACATATCAGTATATATATATATATATATACACATACATACATGAATACATATATATATATATAAATATGTACACTTATAATACATACGTACATACAGAAAATATATGCACACACGTGCATATAGATGTATCTACATATCAAGACGCATATTCCTCAGCTAGATACCGAGAGCCACTGACCCTGGCTCTCCAGGGGCATAGCTTAGGGTTCAAAGGTTTAGTGGTTTAGGGCTTGTTGGGATCATTCGAAAGGGTTCTCAAGGATTCTATAGGGGTTTGCAAAATTCCCTTAGCAGCGCAATGTCGAAGATGTGTTGCGAAGCCTGCCTGGAGTCCTGGACGGACCATTTCTTTCTTTGGGAAGTGGCTGTATCAGGCTCTGTGCCTTGTAGCTAAAAGCCCGACGTGGACCCTGAGCCCTTAAGCCCAGGACCCGAAAACCGTGACAACCTGCGACCCTGACCCAAAAGGCAAAGCCCCAAACCCTACAATCCCAAAACTTTGTGAGGGCTCACTCCCTCAAGATTGTTTTCAAAGGGGCTGTATCCTAAACCCAAAACCGTGTTGTCCAAGTGCTTGTTTGTACAGGAGCCTCGATCTTGGTGTTGCTGTTCCCTAGGGCTTCCTGTCATAGCTTTAGTTTAAGCCGGTTTAAGCTTTCCAATACCGGGTGAGCATAGGTATATATATATATATATATTTATGTATGGATGTACGCATACATATGTATGTAAGGGTCGGCTTTTTTTCTAAAGGTCCTGTTCTGAAGGAGGCACCGCTTGAAAACAACAAACCAAAATCCTTGTTGAATCCGTAGAGTACCAGAAAAATAGTCTTGAAAGGGACCCCATCCCCTAATCCCTTACAAATAGGAACCCCTGTAAAGGAACCCAAACCCCTAAACTCTAAACACTAAACCCTAAACCCTAAACCCTAAACCCTAAACCCTAAACCCTAAACCCTAAACCCTAAACCCTAAACCCTAAACCCTGAACCCAAACCCTATGAAGGAGCCCTAAAAAGGAGAGCGCTGTTTTTCAACCCTTGGCGAGAGGCCCTGGTCTCCACCGACTTCGAGACTTGCCCCATCTCCTGCACCTTCGATTCCAAGGCGGACTTGACTTTTGAGGGTTTTAGGGGGTTTAGGGTTTTGGGATTTGGGGTTTAAGGGAATTTAAGGGGGTTTAGGGTTTTGGGATTTGGGGTTTAAGGGAATTTAAGGGGGTTTAGGGTTTAGGGTTTGGGGTTTCAGGGGGTTCAGGGTTTTGGGATTTGGGGGTTTAAGGGGGTTCAGGGTTTTGGGATTTGGGGTTTAAGGGAATTTAAGGGGGTTTAAGGTTTGGGATTTGAGGGTTTCAGGGGTTCAGGGATTTGGGGCTTCAGGGGTTTAGGGTTTGGGGTTTCAGGGGGTCCGAGGCAGACTTGACTTTTAGGGGTTTCGGGTGAGGGTTTAGGGCTTAAGGATTGTAGGGGTCCGGATTTTGGGTTCCAGGGGTTTTACGTGGGATTTCGGATTTGGGGGTTGCAGGGGCTGTGAGGCGAAAACGATGTCGAGCAGTTTGGATGCTTTTGGGCCTACCTGGACCCTAGAAAACCTACCCTTTTTAAAGGTTCCTTTTTATGATTTCCGTATACAGGTCCTTAAAAAGGTAGGTTATTTGGGGTTAAGGTAGGGCATTTAGGTTTCGGGCTGAGGGCTTAGGGTTTTCGGCTTGTGGTGTTGGAGGGTTTGCCAAACCTGTAACTATAGAACCTAGATGGCGAACTCTATGCCGCACCTTCTTCCCTAGTTTGGCACCTTTATGTTTTTTGCTCCGGGTTTGAGGCCACAACGAAGATGTAGTGAGCGTTCGGAGCCGGCGGCATAGGATCTGGGGATCTAGGGCAGGCCTGAAGATGTCAGCTTTGACTTGAGCCCTACTGTCAAAAGTCTATGTACCTATAGTCTCCATTGTAGTTCCTTTTTGGCGATGCCTTTAAACATCCTTAATATATAATTGGTTAAACCAAAATAAGGAACTACAATGGAGACTACAGGTAGGGTTTAGGGGATGTGCAGTTACAAGTTTTGCACCTGCTCCTTGCTTTGTGCAGCCAAGCGGGGCTGATTCCCCCAAACCTCGCCCCAAACTCAAGACCTGTTCTCCGGCGCCCAGGGCTTCATATGGGTTTCTATAGTAGATTCGATTCAGGTGCTCGGTGTCGTGGGTGAGCGTGCACCACGAGTGCCCAGATAATCCCTAAACCCTAAACTAAACCGTACACCCTAAACTAAACCCTGAACCCTACAACCTAAACCAAACCCTACACTCCAAACCCTAAACCAAACCCTACACCCTCAACTAAACCCTAAACCCTAAACTAAATCCTAAACCCCAAACCCTCAACTAAACCCTAAACCCTAAACCCTAAACAAACCCTTCACCCTAAACCCCAAACTAAACCTTACCCCATAAACTCGACCCTAAACCCCCAAACCACCAGGCCGGCATCATGCTCGATCCCACCTTCGTGAAGGTCGTCTGCTGGTACGTCTCATGGCATGAGAATTAGGGTTTACCCATAGGCCCCATAGTAGTTCCTTTCTGGGGTTCATATTTAGAATCCTATAAGGGAATCCCCAAAAGGAACTACTATATGGGGCCTATGGGTAGGATATAGGCCTGGGGCTTTTAGGGTGTAGGGATGATGATCATTTCAGGGGACTTACTGTACGTATTTCAAGTGTTTATAATCATCGAAGCATCAGGGAACAGTTTGCTTTAACTATACTTGAAACCCCTAAACCCCTAAACTCCTAAACCCCTAAACCCTAAACCCTAAAACCCTAAACTCCTAAACCCCTAAACCCCTAAACCCTAGACCCTAAACCCTAAACCCTAAAACTCTAAACTAAACCGGAAGAAAATCTTGAGGCATGGTCTGCTGTGGGTCCAGCAGTTGGAACCCGGGGCCCGAAGCCCTTAAAGTTATTCTGATGGGGTTTAGGGGTTAGGGGTTTAGGGGTTTAGGGTTTAGGGGTTTAGGAGTTTAGGGCTCTATAGGAGTTTAGTGCTCTAGGGGTTTAGGGATATAGGGGTTTAGGGTTTAGGGTAAGTCATAATTACATGGAACTCGGAGGGTTTGGGGGTGTGGGGTTCAGGCTGTAGGCGGTCCCGAAGTGCTACGACTTGTCTATCCCAGTGCCAGTTTCATTCTACGTGAGGACTTCGTTTATAGGGATTTAGGACTTGGGACGTAGGGTTTAGGGTTCAGGATTTAGGGTTTAGGGCGTCGTAGTTCCTTGAATACAGGGGCTTAGGGTTCAGGGTGCATTAGTA